AAAAAAAAAAAAAAAAGGGTGAATTTTATTCTATGTACATTGTACCTCAATAAACTTAACTCAAAACAAAAACAGAGAACCAAACATCAAGGGTGCTGAGGCAGGCCTCAGGAGGCAAATGCCTAGCCCACCACATCCCACCCACAAGAAGATGCTACCTATTTCTTACCCTTCTGTTTGGCAAGCTTTGGATCTTCATATGTGGGCTGGATCTGCTGCTCCAGCACTGTTTTCAGGGGGGCTTTCTCCTCCACAAGCCTTTTCTGTTTCTTTGCCTGGTCTGAGTCCTAGAGACAATTAGGTACAGGTGGGCTTAGGAGGGAACTGCTGTTCAGAAAAACACTTCAGTGTTAGAAAAGAAAACAAAGAGAAACCAAGACAAGGGGATGGGAATCTGGAGTTCATTGTGTTTACTCCCAGTAGGGAACAGTGTGGGAGCTCGGTGGTGTAGTGCCTAAGGCATTTGACTGCTAATCAGAAGGCTGATGGCTCAAACCCACCATCCCCTCCTCAGAAGGAAAATTGGGCTTAGGTAGACCTACCACTTCAGAATTCCAAGGAGGGGTCGCTAGGAGTCGAAACTACTCAACAGCAGTGAGTTTGGTTTGGTTTGGTTTGAGGGAACAGATAGGTAAGGCTCAGATGAAACTGACAGAAATGAAAAGAAACTAAATCAAAGCTTAGCAATTCTCCTCCCACTGGTGAGCTCATGTCCACTTATCTGGTCAGAGGTCTCAATTCCTGCTTTTCTGCAAAAATCATACCTAACCCTTCCCATCTCGTATCCTATTTCTCCAAGCTCTGGCTCCAACTCTAGTGCAACCACCACGTCTTTCCTGCTCTCTGGGTGATGCTCCCACACCTGGGCCTGGAGCTCCTCGGGCAGGATGGTCAGCAACTGCTTCAGCACCAGCAGCTCGAGGATCTGCTCCTTGGTGTGGGTTCAGGCTGCAGCCACTGATGGCTAAGTTCCCAGAGCTGGCTCACTGACTCTTGAGGTTCTGTGGTCTCTTCATAGCACAACTGTCTGAATCATTTGCACAACAGCTCCGGTCCAAGGCTTTTTTCTATTTCTTTGCACTTTGAATCCCTGTTCTCAATTAGAGGAGTGATCCTCCCTCACTACCTGAAGCCCCTCTTTCTTCAGATTCAGGGGAGCCAGGGAATCAGCACTCACCAATACTGTCGCCATCCCCAGCTTCAGACTGCTCTGTTTTGGACAAGTTTCTTTGGATTGTCTCCTCAGGGATACTTCTAAAAATATAATAACATTACACAGAAATAGCAGTAATAATAAAAATTATTAACAATAGCAATATCCCTTGGTGAATTTATACATTTCCAATAGCTACTATCCATTGTTTTCTCTTCAAAACCATTCCTAAAAAAAGGGAACATACATACAAAATGAGAAAGCTTTTTTTTTTTTTCAGAAGATTGCTAACTAAAGTAAAAGGAATAATAGATTTACAAAATCAGCATTTTGTATTGCTTGATGAAATAATTCAATCAAGGACCACAAAAGTTGCTAAAAACCACTGGGTAAAATGAAGAGGGGTGGATTGTCACAGTCTCAAAATATCACCACACTGACTGCTTATTAATCACAAAGGGAAAAACTGAGATGTCAGGCAGTCAAACTTAGCAACCCCAATAAGAAAATCTGGTGTCATTTACCTCATTAACCATGTAGCATTTTTACTAAAAATGTTTAACATACTAATAATGTGGAAACTTTTGAATAAATGCAGAATGCAGCTCGTTCTACAACAGACATTCTTTTTGAACAAAGAATTTCACAAAAATATAAAAAGGGTGGGGAGGGTACTGTTCTAGATTAAAGAGGCACAACTTAATGCAATGTGTGAAATTTGGCTCTTAGATTTTTTTTTTAAAGAAAGGAAAAATATTTATTTGAAGAATTAGGGAAATATAAATAATAAGAAAATATCATGGACTGCCAGAAGAATGAACAAATCTGTCTTGGAAAAAGTATACCTGGAATGTTCCTCAGAAGTGAGAATTGTCTCTTGTGCTTTGGTCATGTTATCAGGAGGAGGATATCATGCTTGGTAAAGTAGAGGGTCGACAAAAAAGAAGCCCCTCAATGAGACGGACCAACACAGTGACTGCAACAATGGGCTCAAACATTGTGAGGATGGCACGGGGCCATGTAATGTTTCATTCTGTTGTAGCTAGTGTTGGTATGAGTCAGAATTGATTCGACAGCACCTAACAATAAAAACTATCTACTCCACCAGCCACTCCTCGGAAGGAAGGTTGGGCAATCCTACTTCTGTAGTGATACTGCCTCGGAAACCCAAGGAGGGGTTGCTATGAGTCAGGGCCGACTCGACGGCAAATAACAACAACAACATATTGTTGTGCCAGAAAACTGACCTTTCCTCTGTCCTTTCAAATATTGTGCATTAAGCAATTAAGTTCTATCAATGCTATTGCCCAAATGTCTTTCATCTCCCTCTCCACCATCTTCTCCTACACAGACTACTGTGATTGTCTCTGACACATCAGTCTATTTTCCACACTGCAGACAGTGATCTTTGTAAAGTAGAAATATGATTACGTCTCTGCTGTGTTTATTACGTTTAATGGTTCATTCCTGGGATCATATCTGAGCCATTGTTGTTGTTGTTGTTGTTATGTGCTGTCGAGTCAAACCCGACTCATAGCGACCCCTCCTTGGGTTTCCGAGGCAGTATCACTACGGAAGTAGGATTGCCCAACCTTCCTTCCGAGGAGTGGCTGGTGGGTTTGAACCGCCAGCCGTCTGGTTAGCAGGAAAGTGTCTTAGCCACTATGCTACCAGAGCTCCCATTAGATATGATTAAATATGATTAACAACTTTTCTTACACTCTAATGAACACTTTTAGTTCCTCAAACTTGCAATACTTTCTTGCTCCTGGGTCCTCACACATCTTAGTACTACTGCCCCTTCAATCTTCCAACTATCTTCTCATTAATGTCCACTCATACTTTGTGTGTCAATAATTGTAAAAACAATAAGCTAGCACAACCATTCTATGTGCTTTGCAGATATTAATTAATTTAATCTTCACACACCTTATGGAGAAGATACTATTGCTAAATTCATTGTAGAGAAGGAAACTGAGACATGGAGAATTAAAGAACTTATACAAGCTCCCAAAGTTGAACTTCAGAGGAGTCCACTGACCATTAAAGGGAGGGGGGATATGGGGAAAAGGCATATAACAATCTATTTTTAACTTGTATATAAAAGTGAGTTCGGAAGGTGGGAGGGGGGAAGCTGAATCTGTCTTTCCACTAATATCTTCCATCCACAGGCAAAAACCTTTGATTCCTCTTTGCCTCCTCTCTTGTTAATCCCATAGCAAACCCTGTTGGCTCTCCCTTCAACGCAGAGCAATAATCTGACCACTTTTAACAACTACCACCATAATACAGGCCGAAGGCATCCTTATCTTTCATACGAATTACTTGCAACCGTCTCCAAAATTTCCCTGATTTCATCGTGTCCTCCTATAGTGTATTCTCATCATGAGTTCCTAGCTACAGATCTTTGCTCAAAACCTTTCATTGACTTTTTTCACTCAACAAAAGGCCAAATTCCTTGTACAATACAATGCGTACTTATTCTAAATGGCCTCCCCAAATCTCTCCGTTGTCATCTACAAATTTCACCTTTGCTCACTCCGCTCCAGCCACTCTGGTGCTTACCTCGAATATGCAAAGTAAACTCCGACTTTAGAACCTTTTCACTTGCTGTTCCCTCTTCCTAGAGAACTCATGCTGCCCCCAAAAGCCACCTGCGTGTTTTCACCGACTTCGTTTCTGCTCAAATGTTACATTCTCAGTGAGGCCTACTTAGAACACCTATTTAAAATTGTGCTCAATGGATGGAAATTAGCAACAGAAAGTTGTGCTCCGTTAACTAGAGCCACAGCTTCACACCTTTCCAGAGCCCAGGGACAGACACCGCACGTCCTGGGCCCCGACCCTTGTCAGCACCGCCTAATTCTCTGCACCTGCCCGGAATCACCTGTTCCCAAGACCCCTGGGCCGCAGTTCCGCCTCAGCCCTACGTCTAGTCCCCACTCACCCGGCCAAGGGCCCGCAAGAGCAAAATGCTCTCAAACGCGATCTTAGCTCTGCGCTCAGTCCGAGCCCTCTCTTGCCTGCTCACTTTCGTCTCTGCTCTAGGAATAAGGAGGACCACGGCTCGTTGGTTTCTGTTTTGGCCTCGCTGGTGAAGAGCCAAGCTCGGCCACGCCCCGCCGGCTGAGAGTCCTCAGCATGTGTCTGTTGGGAGGGGCTTGCCGTGTGAGCTTAGTTTTTAAATTTTTGAAGCCGAAATTCACTTTATTCAAGGAAAAGCAAGCACGCTCAGTTCAGTGTAATCACAAACAGCCAGTATTTCCATTTTGATCCAAAAAAAAAAAAAAAAAAGCCCAAAGTCACTGACTGCCCTCGAGTCCATTCGACTCACAGCGACCCCTCCCTGGGTTTCCGAAGCGGAACCTCTACAGAAGTAGATTGCCCAAACTTCCTTCGGAGGAGTGATCCATTTTGATCACACATGTTAAAAAAAACAAGAAATCAAAAAACCTCACAGACAGGCTTTATGATTTTACCCCAATTAAAAAGGTCATTGAACACGTAAGAACGGCAAAAATAAGTGTAAAAGTGTCTTGAAGATTAAATTGAACAATAGACATATATTTGGATTGGAAGATTAAAGTAATAAAAAATTATGTCTATTAATGTGGGAGGGGAGATCTGGTAGCATAGTGGCTAAGGCACTTGACTGCTAACCAGAAGGCTGGCGGTTCAAACCCACCAGCCACTCCTCGGAAGGAAGGTTGGGC